TGTAATTAGCCTTATTGAATCAATATGGAAGGTGTTAAATCACTGAATTGCTACTGATAGAATTCTGCACCCTTAGAATCCAAAGGTTAGAAGAGGCTATTTATTCCAAATTCCAAGTTCATTGTAGAAAACTAAATTACTGTATACTTAGTAGGAAGAGAGGCATATTAGTGCATGGTAACAAAAATCAGAAGACCCTGTGGTAGCACTTTTTCCAACTAACAGGTTTGTTAGAAGGTAGGAGATTTGGTAAGCTGCAGTTCTGTTAATCAGAAAAAAAGTGCTACCAGACCACTCCCTATTTTATCTGAAGTAGAAATTTGGTGCAAGTTTGTTTCATAAGCTGTTATTTATTTAGCAAATGGTGACTGTGAATTATCTGTTTTCTCTTTCCTGTATTCTTCATAGGTTAATGCTTCCCCATCTCTTACTTCCAGTACTGCAAATGACCGTATACTCAAGTACAATCTGATAAATGACACACTTAATATTGCTGTGCCCAATGGAGAAATTCCTGATTGTAAATGGAATAAACCGCCCCCCAAAGAAGCTCTTGGGAATTATGAAATTTTGTAAGTGTTTAAGAATAGAGGAAAAAGAATGATGGAAAATTTTTCGTTTTTAATAATGGAAGTGATACCACAAGGACATAGCTTCACAGAACAGCATTTTGTTCACCAGGGCCAAAGTCGCTTTTCAGAAAGGAAATAATTTTGCTTGGATGTGTGTGTGTATTTGTGTGTATAAGTAGTCCTTGACTTAGGATAATCACCAACATTTTTGTTGCTAAGCAAAGTGAGTTGTGTCTCATTTTACAACCTTTTCCCACAGTTTTTAAGCAGCCGTTAAGTGGATTTGGCTTCCTTCATTGACTTTGCTTGTTGGAAGCCGGCTGGGAAGATTAAAGATGGTGATCACATGATCCCAGATAAATATATGCCAGTTGCCAATCACCCCAATGTTGATCACATGACCATGGGGATGCTGCAACGATTGTAAGTGAAAAATGGTCAAAGATCACTTTTTTTCAGTGCTGTTGTAACTTCAAATGGTCACTAAACAAATTGGTTGTAAGTTGAGGTCTGCCTGTATACCTAAAGAGTTGCAGCCATGTATATAGATTATCACTTAACTTTGTGAATAAGAGCCAGTGTTTTCCCCAAAGTTTAGAGTTTATTGATTATATTATATGGATTATTTCTGAAATATCCTCAAGTGGATACATTTAAACTTTTCATGCTTTACATTAAGAAAATAAAAGAACAAGCTGTTTTCTTCATCTGATGTTCTATATTAAGGAGTTTTCTCCTGCCTTTTAAATGGTGGAACACTCATGTCTACAATTTCTTCATCTGGCAGTTGTTGCAATTCAACTCAAGAAAAATTCCACCCCTTTGATCAAAATCAGAAATCGATGTTTGTCTCTCTTCCCTTAGATATGATGAAGAGATGGCACAAAGTGAAATGTCAGATCGTGATTTGCGAAGTCGCTCTGGACAGTCTGTTGGATTTAAGGGAAACCGAGCCAGAGATCCTGGAAAAACAGGGTTCCTTACTTGGAAATAGTAGAATAAATTAAGATTTATTTATTTGTGTGGATATCTTTTATTTTATTTTATTTTATTTGCTTAATGCTAGTCCAGAGAAAAGAATATTGCTCAAAGATGAGGGGATAGAGGCATGTGCGTATATTTCAAATTGATCATTAGATCCACTGTAATTTTACTGCATACTTACATTACGCTGCATGTTATAGTAGAAAATGCAATGAATTAATGCAAATAAAATAGCATTTTAATAAAATAACTCATTTCCAATTCAAACTTCTTTCTTTGAAGTAATAACTGCTATCTCAAGCACTGCAACAGAAATGCGCATTCCAAGATTAGTATTTTGTTTTCTTCCGAATTGTTCTAGAATCCTAAAGCAAACTGTTCAAAGCCTAAGTATTTCTCTATTGCAAACTAATATTAATATATTAGAAATTCTACTTCTTTATAAGGCATGCTGTTGTTCTCTTCAAAATTAAATATAAATTTAAAAAAAATAACAAATTTGGGTGGAAAGGTAACTTTCTATTGGGAATGCTATGAGAAGTTAATTGTGATAGCATATAACATAGATTGATCTGCATATAGGTCTCAAATACAAACCTTTCCACCCATTTGTTGCATTGCTTCTACTGGCTAAAGATTAGAGTTGAATATTAAAAATAATTCTTCAATGACTAATCTGGCAGAAATACTGACATGTTGCATAGATTAGACAAATAAATATTGTACCTCCTAAAACATGGATTTCAGTCACACTATTGTTTTTATATCATATTTGTCTCTTAGGAACTGTCCTCTCATTGGAGTCCAGTTGGAAGAAATAGACGAGCTCTTTGCTAATCAGTTAACTGAGGTGTACAGGAAACACACCACTGTAGTAATAGCAATAGCACTTAGACTTATATGCCGCTTGACAATGTTTTATAGAATAGAATAGAATTCTTTATTGGCCAAGTGTGATTGGACACACAAGGAATTTGTCTTGGTACAAATGCTTTCAATGTACATAAAAAAGATACATTCATCAAGAGTCAAGAACCATAGGTACAACACTTAATAGTCATAGGGTACAATAAGCAATCAAATCATGCTAGGAAACAGTCAATATAAATCGTAAGGATACAATCTAAGCTGTAAACTGCTTAGATAGCCCTCTCTAAGCAGTTTACAGAGTCAGCATTTTGCCCCCAACAATCTGGCTCCTCATTTTACCGACCTTAGAAGGATGGAAGGCTGAGTCAACCTTGAGCCGATGAGAATCAAACTGCCAAATTGCTGGCAGCCAGTGGTCAGCAGAAGTAGCTTGCAGTACTGCATTCTAATCACTGCACCACTGTGGCTCTGGAGGATGGGGGACTTTTAACTACTCTGAATTAACTCTGCAGGGAATGTGACATCAAACAAGTTCCTGACATGAATAAAGGCACATATACACGTCCCAGGATAATGTTCCAGGATCCAATCTGGGTCAGTCACCAGGATCCAAGTGTCAGTCTTCCAAGCTTTAGGACTTGTGCTGGAACTTGAATTTCCCAAGGATGGGCTCCAGCACCAATCCAAAAGCTTGGAAGAGTAAACCTCTTGTCCTGGTAACTGACCCAGACTGGATCCTGCAGGTTAACTGACAACAGTCATACAAAAGATAGAGGAGGAAATGAGGGGGCAGCTATACTGGACTTAATTTTACTAATAGGGATGAAATGATTGATAGGAACTCTGGAGAAAGTGACCATGTCATACTTGAATTCACCATACTGCAACCACAGATAACTAGTCAGACTAGTGTTTTAGACTTTAAGAGAGCTGACTTAAATAGCAGTTGAACAAGAGATTCTGGATGTTCTTTAAGGGCCCCATATAGTGTATTCCAGTAATCCACTTAGGAAGTAGCCAAACCTTGTGCGACTGTTTGTTAATAACATTTAGGAAAGTGTGCAATTGGTTAGGGATTGTCTGTACCATACCTGCTTCTTTGTCTTGCTTTCTGGGTAAGGATGCCTCCTGAAATGTCAGCCTGGGTAGCATGTTTCATTTTATCCTGAAATGTGCTCACTTGACTTTTCTGTAGCTTTCTGGAATGGCTTTGATGTTCTAGAAGGGGAGATGCTAGAGCCTACAAGCTTTAAAGTGTGACTCCTGGTAGTATACTCATACAAATTATTCAGTAACAAGAGGAGACTGGCTTGCGTCTGCCTTCTTTCCAGTCTGCTGGTCCTAAAGGCTGAGGTTCGAATCTGCGCATTGTTGGGCTAGTTGGTTCGAGCACCGCGCTTGGCAATTGGGTTGCCAACATTTCATCACCATTCGAGGAGACATCGTCAGTGCGCTTTGAATTGTGCTCGTGTGTCAGAACACAGGCCTTTAAATACCTTTTTATGTGATGAAATGAAGTATGAATGTTGTTTGTTTGGATACTTCTGAGTCATGGTCTGATTTCAGACTGTTTGATTGGCCAACTGTTGTTATTGAGACTAGTCTGGTTTCTTGTGAGCTGATTTATAACTTTTTGTCATTCTTCCTACCTGAATGAAAGTTAAAAGGGTGGAGGAAGATTAAAAAAAAATCAAGTCACAGCCACATTTGATAGTGCGTCCACAATCCTCCCCTTCCACAACTTAGATCCCAAGCACATTTGTGGAATCTGTCAAAAAAAATTATCTAGAAATTTAAGACCGATTATAGCTGGGGAAAAAAATCACAACTCTCATTGGCTAAATAGAGGAGGTGGGATTGTTACAAGATTAGAAAAGGGATCCAATAGAACAGGGGTCTTCAAACTTGACAGCTTTTAAGACCTGTGGACTTCAATTCCCAGAGTTCCTCCTCCAGTCATGTTAGCTCAGGAATTCTGGGAGCTGAAGTCCACAAGTCTTAAAGCTGTCAAGTTTGAAGACCCAAAATCTCTATAGATCAGGGTCGAAGTGTGGAGTCCTTGATCCTGTCTAGCTTGGGAGTTTGCTTGCAAGCGTTTTATTAACTAAACCGGGTAAGCAAAACGCGTGTACAAAGCCAACCACCCAGTTTCAGAGAGCACCGAGAACCTTATGAGGAGGATCTTCCGTCCCACCAAGATCTACGAGACACGTAAAAAAGGTGATCAGCCCGGTTTCCAGGTTCGCTTGCACGCATGCGTCCCACTTCTCCTCCGTGGAAGTAGGAAGTGGAAGCCGATTGGTGGCGAGGAAAAGCAACGGGATAGGTCCCTTCGTTTTAAAAGAAAAAAGAAAAAAAAACACACACCACACAGAAGCGAAGGAAGAGGCTTAAAGCGGGGCGGATGCGGATATCCTGCCTTTTTCGCGGCTATCCAATCGGGAGGGGCCGCTTCTTGAGGCGGCCAATGAGAGCCCAGAAGAGAACGGCGGAGGCCGTGAAAGGAGTTCTTTTGCCTCTCCGAACTGAGGCAGGCGACGGGAAAGGGAGGGGGGGGGGGGGGGGGGGGGGGGGGGGGGGGGGAGGCTGCTCGGATTGGAGTTGCTTGGCCATTCAGAGCTGCCCCGGGGAAGCCGCCGTGGAGGCGACGGGCTGAGGCGGACCCACCTCTTCGCCGCTTGGGAGCCGGGAGGGCTGAGGAAGAAAGAGTTCCAGACCCTGGAGTAAGTAAGCGAAGAGAGAGAGAGAGAGACCGCTGTCCCGTTTGAGAGAGTTCCCCCAACTCAGCCTACAGGGTCGCAGGCTAGTGGGATGGATGGATCCCGGGCGGGGATGGGAGAGATCTGGGAGGATGGTGGTCGTCCGAGAGGTCTGGAAGCGGACTCTTCCCCGTTCTCGGATCCTTCTGGGATCCCCCTTTGGGTCTCGTTTCTTTGGAAGGAGTTACTACTGCGCCCCCCCCCCCCCCCCGAGTAGGTCGGAGAAGAAGTCGATCGGTTCAAGGTCATCGGCCAATGAGCCTCGCCCAAGGCTGGGGAGGGCGGATCGAGGATCCAGCTTGCCTGGCGGGTGGAATGCCGAAGCCCATCCTCCTCCGCCCGGAGGAGTGGGAGTGGCGGGCTGGACCGTCCCTCCGTTGGTGGGAACGGGTCGAGGTGGGGGTGGGGGTGGGGGTGAGCAGGGCTGCACCTTCTTCAGCCATGCAAAATTGCCTGGATGACTTGGGATGTCAAGGCTCGTTTCCCAACGGAGCGGGTTTCAAACGAGGGCGTTTAGGAGAAGAGAAGATCGGGGGTGGGGGTTGAATAAAGGATGAAAAAATGAGAAAGCTAAACACCAGGAGTTCTTCTTGGCATCTGAAGAGAGAGAGAGAAAGGCCCGCGAAAAGGACAAAGTCTCCTTTGAAAAATTGTTATTAGTAAAAACGAATGAGAACGTAATAATAAAAGAATGGCAGTGCAAAGCAGTCTTCGAACTTGTAAGCACTTCATTTAGTAGACTGTTCAAAGTTACGACAGCGCTGGAAAAAAAAGTGACTTATGACCATTTTTCACACTTACGACCATTGTATGGCCGTGTGATTTACATTTGGATGCCTGGCAACTGAACATCACCTTTATGATAGTTGCAGTGTCCCAGAGTCTTATGATCCCCTTTAGCGACTTTCTGACAAGCAAAACCAATGAAGAAATCAGATTCACATCACAAGCTTATTACTAATTTTAAGATTCACTTAACAAATGTGGCAAGAAAAGTCATAAAATGGGGCAAAACTCAACAAATATCTCACTTAGCAATGTAAATTTTGGGCTCAGTTATGGTCATACATTGGGGACTACCTGTAGTCTGTCTTGATTAGAAAGGATTATAAATTAATATGCATTGATCACATAACATTTTCCTTCTTGCCCAGAATATATTGGACAAATGCTCTACCTTGTAGTGTGATGGGTGCTCTGGAATTGAAGCACTTGCTCGCTGCTCATTCTTTGCTCACATCTCTTGTTACCTTAACCATCGTTCATTGAATTATAAAATTATCTGGGTTTGCATGTCATACCAAATGTAAACAAATGAGAGGTTGCATGCATATAGCTTGTATGTAGCTTAGAATATAATTCAATAGTTTGAATAATGTGCTAACACTGAATCTATCAATCTGGATTGGCATTCAGTTAATGAAAAGTTCTTTAGTTGGCCTATCTTTCACATTTTCCTTGGGTTTAGCTTTTAATTATGAAAGCACCATACTAGAAACCAGGAGACTGTGAGTTCTAGTTTTGCCTTAGGGCTTAGGCACAAAGCCACCTGGGTGTCCTTGAGCCAGTCACTTTGTCTCAACCCTAGGAAGGAGGAAATGGCAAGAGGTTTAAAACGGGGCGGATGCTGAAAAACCTTTCCACTTCTGAAAAACCTTTCCAAGAAAACTGCAGAGACTTGTCCAGGCAGTCTGAGAACTGGGACGATTGAACAGAAAAAAAACAGTTTGTCAGCCAAAGTTGTAGATGTGAAGATAAATACAGTAGTAATTGTATATCTGGAATGAGGCACATTGACCATATTAGAAGAAATACTTCCTAGATCTAAAATAAATCCTACAGGGCCAGGATACCAAGTAATATTTAGATATTTGGTGGGAAAACACTCTTGTTTTGATGATAGCCAAACCATAGAAGAGAAAAAGTATGATATTATTCAAGGTATGGAAAATAGGGTAAAAGATAAAAAGAACAGATACATGAAGAAACAGAACAGTTAAGCTATCTTGATTTTGCTGACCAAAATTGTTCATTTTATATTAACGTAGGGACTGTCGGTTTTCAAATTCTTATTAGAGTTACTAAGAATGGTAAAGGGAGTGGGTTACTATTGAACGCTCTATATTTCATGCCACCAACCATGGGGTCTATCTAGGATATTTTGCTAATGTGGAGTGTGGAGACAACTTCTTGCAGTGCTATCTTTAGGTAGTGATAGGGTTGTTTTTTTTTCCAAACTCTTGTTCAACAGCAATTTGAAATCCCGAAAGTTCTGTGGTCTTTCATGCTTTTTCTATCTAGACCAAGTTGTAGATTATAAATTATAACATATACTATGAAGTGTTAAAATGAACTCAGTGAAGGACTAAAGATGAATGAATAAACTGATCCTGATAAATTGAAGATCCTGCTGACCAGCAGCAAATGGATCTAGTTGGAAATAGAAATATAACTCTGATGAAATAACCAGTTATGCTGTTTTGATGTTCTCTTAAATCCAGTGTCTGGAATGATGCTTCTGGCTGCTGTCATTTCTGAAGGTGAACTTAAGCACAATGATCCGATTTAAGGCATTATTTATTTATCTACTATTTATTAAAAACATGAGAGTTGAATCTCTTCTCAAATTCTGTAACACAAAATTGATTAAATTATATTTAAGTGTAACATGTGAACCTTACACCTTCTCACAACTGTTTGGAAGTTATGGGTATTGTTGCCAAATTACCCATCCCTTATGCCTAGAATTTTGCATGGGCTTCTGTGCTGTTTTGACTACAATTCGGTGTACCAGCTTTTTTCTAAATTACTTTTGGTCAGAATATCCAACATATTGCCCCTTTGCAGTATGTGAGGCTCTACTATGGGCTCCCTTCAGCTAGAGAAATAAATTTTGACTTTTGCGTAAAAGCTGCCTAATAAGCAAGGTAGCAAACCATACAGGAATAAGTACTGTAATATAATAGCATTACAGTAAGGAATGTAGAAATTGAAAATAACATATTCATATTACAAATGATCATAGCCTGGGCCTCTTGAAATAACCAGGCTTTTACAGGTTTTTTTTTTGAAGGTCAGCTGGGTCAGAGAGAAACAGACCAGAGGGAATACCAAAGAACAGGTTCAACAATAGATACGGCATGTCCCTAAGCTCTCATAAGAATGACATTATTTGGTTTTATAGAACCCAGGGCATACCGAGGGTGAACAAAAACTATTGGAACTCAGCAATTCCTAAATATCTAGGGTTGGGTCTTATATAGGTGTAGCCTTTTGAATTGCTCCCAGAAACTAGTTAGTAACTAGTTAACAAAATAGAGCCATTTAATAAATACATTGAAGAGTACCAGTGTAATATTTTCATGGCTTCATTCTGGACTAGATAATGCTGTATTTAAGAGCAGTCTATTTAAAGGCCATTGCATTAGTCCAAATAAGAGATAGCTAAGGCATGAATTATTGAGTGAATGGTCTGCCAATCCCCCAAAAGACACAGTTGTTGTGCAAGATGAATCTGTGCAAAAATTGCCTGAATGGTTAAGGATTAAATACGAATACTGGTGAGTAACCAGTGCCAAGGAAGTATGTTGTGCTCTTGAGTAGATTTGTTCGATAATCCATTGGTTTGTTTCCTTGGCTGGCCAAAGTCCAACTTTCACTTCCATAATGTCGCTGAGAATTATGTAGCTTGCATCATTTTGGTATAGTCATGACCACAGTGTTTGAATTACTTTTCCAAGGGCTTTATGGCTGTTCTATCCAGTGCTGGCTTGTGCCTATTTCTTGATTGCTTTTTCGCTTATTGTTGAAGGTTGAACCTAAAAGGCAGAAGCTATCCATCACTTTGATATCTTCCCTGTCAAATCACAATGACAGTTTGACAATTAATTGTCAAATGAATAAAGAGAATGAATGAGGATTAAATGAATGAATAGGTTGAGAAATGAGAAATAGCAATTGGATGGAATTGATGAGGTTTAACGGAAGTTTTAACAGAAAAAATATATGCTATACGAAGCAACTTAGTGGAAACGCAAACAGTTCGCAATGTTAAAAAAAGGTATAATTGTTAGGATCTTTAATGGCCATTGTGACCGGGGGGTCATTACTCTTCTTTTTGGGTGATCACTTTTCAGAAACATCTAAGAAAGTCACAAAAAAATTATCGCTAACTATAGCTGTTAGAAATCATCTGATTCCTGTCTTATGCTATTAATGATTAATTGTATCAAAATTTTATTGCAGTTTTTAAATAATATTTATTGTACTATTGATCTTTTCCTTGTGTTTGCTTTTGCATGCAAACTTTGGATGGAGAGGTTTAGATTTAGTTGTATTTCCTTTCCTTTTTCTTATCTCATGTCTTTAATTTCTTTAGCTTATTATTTTTAGTCCTTTTCTATGCTTTTCACAATACTGTTTAGTCTGAAAAGGAAACTGTATGACCTATGAATGAATGTGCAGTAAAAGCAAAGGATAATAATAATGCCTAAGAACATTATTGATTATTATTACAAGCTCTTGATCGAGCCTTAAAATTTATAAAAAAAACCCAAGCTAAACAATCTCTGGGAAAGGAATTTCATGAACAAAATATCACAAGTGTTGGATAATTTTCATTTTGGGAGACAGTAGGCTGGTAGATTGATTAAATGAAGAGCATCAGTGAGTACATTACATACATACATACATACATACATACATACATACATATATAGCAGTATGTTGAAAGATGAAAGACATGTTTGCAAGGACAGAAAGACATGGAGAGGTATAATGAATCACATTGCAGAGTCTAAATTTGGTGATACTGTCTTTACATTTTTGTTTTGCACTGCCTATCTATGTCTGTCGGTCTGTCTATCTATCTATCTAACACACAAACACACATATATAGCTATCTCACCATATTTGCACCACATTTCTTATCTTCTTATTGTGTAATCAGAATACTGAAATTTTTTA